TGACCAATTAGCCCATAATCACACTAACTCACTATTTCTTATACTCAATCCTTATAATCTTTATAACCCCTTGTATAAAATAACCTCAAACAATTATCTCCTCGAACTCTCTATCCATCGTAGTATCAAAACAATTAATCACGCAAATATTCTTGCTCTTTGATCATCACAAAACCGATTTCAAACATGTTACAAATCTCTCAGCATATCAACTAAAATGCAACCTGGCTCTATATTAACAACAATCAAAAAGTTTCAAACTTTGCTCATAGTTTTCAGTCTTCTACACTTAAGACATTTAGAATTAAATTACTTACTGATGAACTACCCACACCTCATACTCTTTATAGAAGAAATTACCTTTATCCTAATATTTGTCACATTTGTCAACAAACAAGTTCAATACTATACTAGACAATCTGTCCTGACTCTAACCTTTTGTTCGACCTAATACAAAATTTACTACAACTTACTATTACTTCTAGCAAGCTTCAAAACTCTTTAAGCAACACTAGTCAACTACACTCTTTAATTCTTAACTTGGACAGTCTTCAAACACATCAATTACCAGATAAACCTTCTATATTCTCTACACTCTCTGGACTTATACTATTTGATATTATACATATGATACGTGAATTCACTTCATCAAACCAAATCGCTACTACTCTTCAAGAAGGTTCAATACCTCTTGAGTCAATTCTTGCTTAACATCCCAAATATCCTATTTTCAAAAAGCAACTTCACCATTATCACTTACTTTTTCTTGACCAACTTACCACATCCAATAACTCTTGTCTTCTTAACTAAACACATATTTCACCCAGACTCAACAAAATCCCAAAAAAGAAAACTCCTCTCTGGTTTACCTTTCTTGAAAGTCAAACAATTACAACCTTTGCTTGTACTATCTTGTCTAGTTTTATCTACCTACTTCTAACTATTATAGTTATAATACTGGCCACTTTTACAAACACTCCAAGCCATGGTTCATCACTCTTCTTAATAACCAAATTATTATTGGCAAAGCTCATCGTCAATCTAACAATTCTGGTTATACTTTAATAAATCACTAGCAATGTAATATCACAAGTTATTCACTTCCACCCTATCCTTTGGCCCCCATAACCACAACCTCATGCTCAGACTGTTCTCTAAACTCTAATATCATTGCCAACAAGTGCACTATTCTTATTTCAACTAGCCAGGCTATTAAATTTTTTGACAGACCATCCCTAACAAAACACTCAACTTTCATGCAAATTATCTCGACCTCTTATACTTAATTATACTTTCAAACTCTAGTTCCCCTTACTCTTGCCAAATCTTAATATCTCAACCATCCAAACCTTATTAATTTTTCAACCTAGCCCTGCTCTTGACTTATTACAACATATAACTACTCAAAACAGTAACCCTCATAACTTCACTTTTTACACCGATGGTTCTGTTACAAACATAGGCAACCCTCAATGCTCTATGAGTATTGGTTGGCTTCAAACTAACAATCACACAATTTAACATACTTTTCAAGCCCAAATTGAACTTTGGTCTTGCTCTTTTAAGGCTGAACTTCTTGCAATTCTATTAGCCATTAGTACAGTCCCCCGAAACTCTATAATCCATATCTATACTGACTCTCAATTAGTAATTTTGAAATATAACAGTCTTTTAAACCCTACTTCAGTAGCAAACTTTTCAAACACTTCCTACTGGTCTATTTGGAACACATTCTTAAACTTCTGCTCCTCACTTAATCTCTTAATTACCTTTCATAAAGTGCCTGCACATCAAGACAATAAACTTAATAACAAAGCAGATGAATTAGCCCACAACCATCACAATGCTCTGATTTTTACTCTTAACTCTGGCAATATATACAACACCCAATTTGTCTCTCTATATAATAGCTCTCCTCTTGAACTTCTGGTTCATCACAGCATCCGAACTATCTGCAATGCAAATATTTTTGCATGATGGTCCTCCCAACATCATTTCCAACAATGGTTCTCTCTTTCACAAGACATCTATTGGAATGCCACTTGGCTATATCTTAACAACAATCAAAAAGTTTCAAACTTTGCACATAGCTTCCAATCATCAACACTTAAAATATTCAGAGTTAAATTATTACTTGATGACCTTCCATCTCTACACATTCTTCACAAAAGATATCCTTCTTACCCCAACTCCTGCCACATATGCCAACAACTTACTGACGCACTTCATTGGGTATTTTGCCCCTCATCTGATCTAATACTTAAACTGCTTGATACATCTCTACAACATATCATAACTTCTAGTAAACTTCAAATCTTTTACACCCAAATTCAACATCTTCTTAGTCAAATTAGAAGCCTCAACAGTCTACAAACCCATGCATTTAACTTCAAACTATCACTATTCTCTACAATCACTAGTCTTGTCCCTGTCAACATTATCAACACTATACAAGACCACACCCCATCTCACAACTTTGCCTGCTCTTTAGCTATTCAATTTCTCCTTCATTTTAACCAACAAATCTATACAAATATCTGGATTCCCTACTGCACTTCAAGATTACAATCTAATCTTGCTCCCAGTATTAATAACAATATTACTCCTGTTAATCCTACTATATCTTTGTCAAGTCCAATAGTTTCTTCTGAAAATTCTCCTAATATATTTATACTTGACTCACTTTCTAAATTAGAAATTTGGTACTCCAACTGGATTAAATTCTCTTCACACCCCTCTCTTATTCTTACTTACTCTCAATCTAGATGAGCCTTGGCCACTCTGGTAGATTTAGGCCACAAATAAGTATTTAGATTTATTTAGATATATATCTAAGTTCTTTTTAGATTTAAAATATAAAACCTTTTTCAATTATGTAAGAAGTTTTTGTTAAATTTAATAAAGATAAGAGCATGGTCTCACCTTTAATATTAAAAAAAAAAAAAAAAAAAAAACAATTTTGATATATGTGATAATTTTGCTGTTTTTCTTGACAATTGCCTTGTTAATTGTCTTGGTAATACTTCTAATTGTACTTTTGGTAATGCTTCTAGTAGTGCTTCTAATGGTGTTTTTGGTAATGCTTTTGGTAGTGCTTCTGATGATGATCCTGGTGATGCTTCTGATAATGGTCCCAGCGATGCTTCTGGTAATATCTCTTCTAATTAATGATATAAAAATAGTGATTCAAAAATGTATTAATAGAAAAAATAGCGGTTTGAAAATGTATTAATAGAAAATATGAGGAGCAAAATACCTAATGAAGTATATCAGTAGGTTGTTGGCATATATGGCAGGAGTTGGGGTAAGAAGGATATCTTTTGTGAAGAATGTGTGGAGATGAAAGGTTATCAAGTAATAATTTAACTCTGAATGTTTTAAGTGTTAATGATTGGAAGCTGTGTACAAAGTTTGAAACTTTTTGATTGTTGTTAAAATATAGCCAAGTGGCATTCCAATAGATGTCCTGTAAGAGAGAGGACCATTGTTGGAAGCAATGTTGGGAGGACCAACATGCAAAAATATTTGCATTGCAGATCGAACTGGGAGTTCAAGAGGAGAGCTATTACATAGAGGGACAAATTGGGCATTGTATATATTGCCAGAGTTAAGAGTAAGAATCGGAGCATTGTGATGGTTGCAGGCTAATTCATCAGCTTTGTTATTAAGTTCATTGTCTTGATGTACAGACACTTTATAAAAGGTAATTGAGAGATTAAGTGAGGAGCAGAAGTTTAAGAATGTGTTCCAAGTAGACCAGTAAGAGGTGTTTGAAAAGTTTGCTACTAGAGTAGGGTTTAAGAGACTGTTATATTTTAAAATTACTAATTGAGAGTCAGTATAAATATGAATTATAGAGTTTCAGGAAACTGTACTAATAGCTAATAGAATTGCAAGAAGTTCAGCCTTAAAGGAGCAAGGCCAAAGTTTAATTTGGGCTTGAAAAGTATGTTGAATTGTG